CTCGTCAGAATGACTGGGTTGCTCCGTCATAATTTACCTTATTCCCAATAGGAAACGTGGCATTACTAATGTAACAAAACAAGAGACAAACTCTGTTGCTGGTACTTCTGTAGTTTATTGCTGGCACTGTATACATGTGTGGTGTCGTCCGTCCGTCTGGTTGGCTCTCCCAAGGCAGTGTTCTCTAACCTAAAGGTCTTTTCCCTTTTATCTTACTCTGGACCAAGTTTGTCCGGCCATCCCCTAATATGGACTTCACTTTTTGCTAGATGATACGATTGCTGAAGTATAGCCACCTGTACTCGAGGTGCAAGGTTGAGATTTCCCGTGCTAATTTGTTACTTGAAATGGACCCTAATAATTAACCTACTACTAGGTGGTCACTGTCAGAACGGGAAATTGCATAAGTTTATTTATCAAGGAAGTGGGGATAGTCTCTAATTAATTAACTGGCCGAAGATTCTCGGGGCCCAGACTACACCAACCTAAGTGTATATATACAAGTAATTATCCACACCCCTGTGAACTGCCTATATGTGATATATTGATAAACTATTGAACATTAAACAAACTATTGTTTAAGCTAACTTATTCCACCCAATCACATATGAAAATCCAGTTGTGTTGCACTAATTTCGATTGAAGAAGAATATGCTTACCTATTTGGAACTATTCGTTTTCAGGAGTCTCCGTGTGAATCTTTCTTTTGTTAATATTTTAATCGAATCGAAAATAGATTCTGTAACATGTTTGAATTCTCTTGGTTGTTTATGATATGCAGTACGGACATTTGCTTTTCTAAGAGAGAAGAGTATAATTAACAATGATCTATCGATTTAGCTTGTAATTTTCTGCACGTGTGATATATAACATTTCATACACACGATGATCATTAAGTGACATATGTACAATCATTTATCGACAACGAACGCCTACGCCGGTGTGATTGTACCGGAAAAAGAAATGCCAGTGATGGTCGTAAGTATTTCATTATAATTACCACCGTCCGAAAGCTTGATATAAAGGAACGTGCGTGGCACGTGTTTCCAATCCGTCGTGCGTGCATGTGTTGACAAAAAAAAAAGTCAAAATCAAGATGCGAATGTGTTATAACCCTATAATGCAATATATATACATATATATATGTTTGATACGTCAAGTTATATTCAAGTATATTCTGACCCGCACAACTATTCGAATGAACTAAAATGTGACGTGCAAGATACGGCAAACAACGGGGACTAAAAGCCCACGAGCACTGTCTACCACCTGCAATCAATATTGCAAACAGTTTTAATTGAACAAATTAAAAGATGTTAATGAATTTTCCTTCATTCACATATATTGCACATTGAAAGATTACGCCAGCCGTGGACACAGTCATTGAGTTTTGGCATGCTTGTAAGGTATTGATATGAATGGATTAGTTTTCAGGTCTTACTCTGATTGATCAACAAGACAGGCCCAAGACGCTAACTCTACATGGTCTTATTCTCCCTATACTGTTTCATGAGACTCCTTGTACATTTTTCTTTTGTTCATATTTAGTTTTATTGAATTTGAGTTTGGATTATGATTACGCTGACATGGTAGTATTTTCTAATCGAGTTTTTGGTATGGCTGTAGGGTGTGTATTTGTATTAACTGGTAATAAAAAAGGCCGTTATTGAGTTTTTCATCAGCTTTTGTCATGTTCTTAATTTGTATATTTGTAAAGCCGGCTCAATTTTGATGACGTCATCGAATTTTTGCATAAATGTATTGTTTGTGCTTGGTTAGACGAGTCAATACAAATAAACGACCTACAAACATGTAAAAACTCGATAACGTTGTGGAAACTAGCTCCCGTCACTATAAAACACACTGAGGATAAGGACTTGATGACGTCGTAACCCTCTAGTTCTGCACGTAGTCCCTGCTTATCGTTCAGGATTGGACTGATTTCGCAAGGATTGATGATTATGTTGGTAGTATTATATGATCAAAATTTATTTATTTTCTATTGTTTTTAAAGGCCTATCTACAATAACTGTTATTTAGGATCAAACAGAATATCAGAACCAGTCGCTTATAAAATAAAGCACACGAACCGGATGCAAATCACACAATATGTAATCATAGCGGATTCATTTGCTTTGATGTTTTATATCAACTCTTTTAACTTAAGCGTGATTTTTTGTAAACTGAATTTCCTCGTTTTCTCAAGTCTGTAAAAATAGCCACCTTTATACGCCCTTCATGTTGTTCATATATCATGATATGGCTTTGTCCGTCCGTTCGTTGTAATTTTTCATGTATTTTATTTTCGTAACATAAATCTTGTCTGAAGATCTTCTTCCAGGTTTTAACTGATTTCTTTTATGACAAAGTTTAAATCTAATGAAATAATGTTTTCCTTCAGGTGAAATCCTATGATTACCATCGGAAGATAACTATAATTTTCAACTCTGAAACAGTTTATATGTATGCATTTTGTGTTAATTACAAAAACCGGAAGATGTCCAAATCTTTTGTTGGCGTTATACCCATTCCTGTTGTCGAACTAATTAAATTTTTTGACAGGTAATCATCTCTCCTTCCCCCAAATAAAACAGTAGAAGTCTGAATGTCTTCAAACACTTAACATTCTAAAAGTATTGTGGCACACTGACTGGGGTTCTGATGAGAAAGTTTTGTTGAGACAGTAATCTAATAAGATTAGAGCTAGACTGCGGTTCAAATACTTATGGATCCGCTAAAACGTCATATCTCAGATTTGATACTGTTCATCATCAGGGTTTAAGACTGGTACCTAAACCTACCAAACCATTCCAACTGCAAGTCTCAACGTACATACCAATGACCCATCTCTATATAATGAATTGTCATTACTGTGGCATGATAAAAAGAATGTGTAATTCATCGTTTGGTAATTGACACCCCCCCCTCCCCCCCCCACCTTTTTTTTTTAGAAAAAACAAAAACAAAAACAATGTGGATAAATTTCAGCCCGTTTGACCAATTGATCTTTCTTCCATGACCTTTACCTTAACCAAATATTGACTTATATATATGATATGACGATCCTTATTCTTCATTATTCTCTAAACCGCAGCCAGAATATAATGACTTTCAGTTCCTAAATAATGATTGTTCAAACGTCAGTCATAAGATATCAGCGGCCATGGTAGCTATAGATGCAGCTACTGTATGCCGTCTACCGAAAAACAAATACCAGCATGTCGACATAAGCATAGTCCAAACTTAAATCTGTTAAAACTAGGACAAAATACACACAAACGAAACATTTACACGATGATTCCTGAAAAGGCACAAAGAGAGTAAGCCCTGGAGAAGAAAGAGTCTTCTGTTTCATCGACGACACCAGCCATGAAAGTCTTGGTCAAGGCAAGTAAGTAAGCAATGCCACATTGAGAACAAGGTATACAACACCGGAGCCAATAAGCAAACTAACGACCATTAAAGAAATATTATGTTTCTCAATGACTATGACGACCGTAAAACTTCCCCATCTTTCGAAAGCCTGTCTTTCTAGTTTGTCCGTAAGATGTCGACATTTTGCTAGAAAATCGTAATAATGTGAACAGACAATTGGATATTAAATCTACTGCCACCTGTTAACACGATGGTTAGGGATTCAGCGATTTAGCTATTGAAATTGAAATCATCACGCTTATTTGGTTGAAAGCTCTCCATGTTGTTTTGTTGTAGGAAAATATCGAGATTAGCGGCGGACGTAGAAGAGTATGTCGCGTGTTTAAACTAATTCTAGGTGAATGGTCTCGTTGCTACAGAGACTGGCACAGAGATGCGGTCGTCCTTGCCTGTGTTCAAACATACCAACATTACACACTTGTGCACAATTTTTGTATGTTGAGGAACAAAGACTAGCTTCGATGCATGGCGTTAACCGTAAAACTCATTTTACATGACTGTGCAGACTTACAATTTACAAGAAATTATTTTTCTTAAAATACAATGTAGAATGGTTAATGTTAAACTTTTATTGAACAAACATATTCAAAATTTCAACTCTTCTGAAAGTTGTCGGTCTGTTCACCAGGATTTGACTAACAAGGCCAGATTTTTAATGGTGGCTGTATATGCAAAAGTTTTCATATTCTCCCCGTCGTTTCGTTTGTTTTGTGTCGATTGACTTTTGCCCTTGACGAATTTTTTGTGTTAATGAGCGGTTAGAAATATTTTATCCTTATTGCCAGTCGTGTGTGTACATTACTCACTCAGGATTTAAATAATGTTTTTCAAACATTGTTTTGAAATGGTAAAATTTTCTAAACAGCATTGTACTTAAACATGTATAAAACATTTTGGAAGTCTGGTAATTTGTTGCCTGTTTGGCGCGAAAATGTCGTACATTTATTTCGCTCTATGCTACTCTTGTTTAGTTTCATTAAATTCTACGACTTTGGGAATTAAACCTGATTGATATATATATATATATTGAAATCAGACAAACATACGTATGTATTGATTATCCGTGAAGGCGATAGATTACCTAAACATAGCGATGTACTCTTTAAATATCACTATTCCATTCCATTGGGTCTATATGAATATAATTCATACCGATGGATGTCTTATTTAAACATTACAATCAAGGTCAAAGTTGAATTACCACAAGCAGTCTACTTCAATTAAAAGTTTTATTAGGATGTTTCATAAAGAAAATAAATGACTCTTGCGGACTCTGCCTGACTGAAAATGAAAAATAAAACGAGAAATCATTATACGTTCAAAGGCAATGCTACTGAAATACACATGTCTTATATAACGCAATAATATTCGCGAACGGGTATAAAATGTCATTGTTTATCAGAATACAAAATAGTTATCGCATTGTGAGCATCACAATAAACACATGCCTCGTATCGATAAGAGTGTTAGTAGGTATAAAAAGGGATTTCTTTTTTTAAGGATTGACAAATTGAGAACAAACGTTAAATATTGATCAAAGTCAATATAGGATGAATAACGTACGCCTAGTTTTCTGGGGACATTGCAGGAGTCGTACTCTTCGGAGATCCAACCAAGAATAGTTTGTGGTTATGACAAGCCATATCAAACAGGTGCGAGTGTTGGTCAATCTGGTCGTTGGTCAATTCGTCTTCGCCACCGGAAATCATTGTCATCATTTGAATCTACAAAACAATATGACATACAGTAGGATAGTATCAAAATACAAAATGTATTATAAAGTCATCCGAAGTTAGGTCTGTTTATCCTCCTGGGAGAACGTTTCGTCGGCCCAGGAGTCTCTCGTCTTAATAAGAGGTCATAACACGTTCCAAGAAGTCCTTGGACAGGAAAGTGTGTCTTTTTAATACCAAAAAATCGCAACACAATTTAGCTCAAAGAAATGCGCTTATATCTGTATTTTATTTAAATTGCAATTGCAACACATTTGCTGAAATATATACATATGTCCTTTATATATAGGTATAATACCTGCAGTCAATCAGCAGACAGTCATCCTCTACTTCTGTGTTTTACTTCATATTAATCAAACTTATTATTTTTGCTAGATATATCCTTTCCATCGTGATATAATTCTAGGTTAGTAACATCAAATGACAATTTTTTTTCTTCTTTTATAATTCACAAGATACCGCCCCTCCCACGCCTATGATTGGTCTACAAGATAAGCCAGTCGAGTGTCCTGATACATTTTGTATGTGATAAAATTCTACATATTTGTGATGTCATTGGTGATCGGTTGATAGTCAACCACGAAAATGCCAGGACATGAAGACATGGATAAACAAAAACGCCAGTTTAATTCCATATTTTTTTCTTCAAATATTGAATGGATTTGCGTGCAAGAGCGATTCTTTTGAAACGTATAGATGAAAGAATAGATACATCTGATACAAAGAGTACAACTGTGGAAAGTATTAGTTTCTGTAGAAATCACATACAGTTACGCTAATCGTATTGAAGGAAAATACATTTTTTTTTCAAATCATGTTATGCAGGGGGAATATGTCAAACAGAATACTTGAAAGTATTTGTTGTCTTGTCTATTGTACTGTGTGGAATAATCGGTTGCTGAACTTGCCAGAAACATAATCACCTGGCGCCAACAAAAGGCCATGTGACCCCATGAGAATGAAATGCATCGTTTATACATTCCTACAGAAAAAATGTAAAGGAATTTAAAGAATTTTCTTTATTTCACCTATTTGGCCCTGACTCACCTTCCTACTAAATTGATTCACATCACCCAAGCATGCTTCAAATTTTAGGACTACCATTTATACAAAATTTATTGCCCGTCATTCAAGCAGGTTTCATATTCCCATTTCCCCTATTAGGATGAAGTGAGGATAGGGGATGCAATATTGAGCTCCCGTCAACCCGGATATTTCAAAACAAAATTGGAGGAAAGTGGGATAGAATCCTCACAATTCTACACAAGAAGAATTTTTGATTTGTTTTTCTATTTGACCCGCTCCTCGGACCCAGGGGAGCCGAGACCAACTTTTTGTACAAAAATGATTTCTCTTTACCCCAGGATGCTCCATGTCAAACTGGAACAGAATTCACACATCCCTACAGAAGAAATATTTTCCCTATTGGGCCCCGCCCTCTGGCCCTCAGGGGCAAGGTGAACTGTTCATACAAAATTTAAAGAATTGTTTTATTTCCTCAACCATACAGGTAAACTGAAAATGTGAAACTTGCATATGTGTCGAATAGCACGGAAGAGACCTGATAGAAATGACTGTTACAAAATATTTGTATTCGAGAGTTGGTATTCAAGCTGGTTGTTTTAATAACTGAATTTTAGTTTTTAATAACTTTTTTGTCTGATATTATATCATACCTAATTATATATGGGTGGAGGGGGGGGGGGTGGTGTGTGAAATGTGATGACGGCTGTTTCACAAATACTGAATTCACAAAGACGTGCATATGTGCAGCTGTGTTTGTTTCAAAATTAAAGAATAATTCATGAATAACGTTGATAAAATTATATAAAGGAAGCACTTCTAAGATGATTGTATTTTTTCTTTCAAATTTGGATTTTAAATTTAACTACACATATGAAGAGTATTCAAATGGGTAGTATAAAATATACGTTTGATGCATAATGTAGCACAATGTCTTTCTATGGAAAAAATCCGATGTAGTAAAAAAAAAATTATTGAAAATGTTTACATTTTAAAATTTCAATTTCTAGAAACAATTTTTTCTGTTAGTCTTCTTCTGAAAACTGCTAAATCACATGAAAATTATCCGTTCTATGAAGAATACAGAATTAATATTCATTTATATCTTAGTTACACATACATTACTTAATTAGCTATTTGGAAGCGTTCTGTCAAATCATTGAAACTTGTAAAGAAGCGAATGAGTCTGCGAAGTTACAAAATGCTGAGCAGTTATAATGATAAATCAACTTAGATACCATAATGTCTTACAATGATCAACTAAAATTCCAGAATTTCTGACAATGATAATGTAGACTCCTGAATCCTATAGTTTATATAGCTACGTCGTGTAATACTTGTCAAAAGCGAGAAGATTATTTGTAAAACTTTGTAAAATTTACGAAACAGGTGGTCATTGTCGACTCACCCATGTGGAATTAAGAGATATGTAGTTCCTTACACATATGTTACATATACTAAACAAAAAAGAAAGGTAACACTACTTTATTCTGTGATTAATTAATTAACCCCTTCATAAATCATTACCAATCATGTACGAATAAAGTAATTGATCAATTCTGATAAAACTGCAGTCATGGTTCATTATAAAACTTTGCGTTCAGTTGATTTTATTCGACTGTAAAGGACGTTGGGGTCAATTTCAAAGGTAACACCATTAGTAACGGGTATGGGCACCGTTTGCGAAGTAAACAGCATTGCAGCGTCGTCGCATGGAACTCGTAAACCGGCGGATAATTCGAGGAGAGATGTTGTTCCATTCAGCGATCAAGGCTTGGGCCAGCTCCTGCAAATTTGACCGCTGATTTTGACGTTCTCTCACGCGTCGCCCAAGAACGTCCCAGACATGCTCAATCGGTGACAAATCAGGTGATTTAGATGGCCAATCTAACACCTGTACGTTATTCTGCTGCAAGAAAGTTCTGCTGACGCGACTGGTGTACGCTAGTGCGTTATCCTGTTGAAAAATGGCGCAAACGCCATGGCGTCTTAAGAATGGCAGAACCACTGGTCTTAAAATTTCGTCCCGATATCGAATGCCGGTTAAATTGCCATTTAACACAACAAGCCTGGTACGAGTCCCCCCAGAAATACCACCCCAAATCATTACACTTCCGCCGCCAAAGCGGTCCCGTTCTGCGACGCAGCAGTTTGCAAAACGCTCCCCTCGTCGCCTCCACACTCTGAGCTTTCCGTCACCGTGTTGCAGACAAAACCTGGACTCATCTGAAAACAGAACATTGTTCCATTGCCGTAAGGCCCAACGACGGTGAACACGGGTCCAGTTACGCCGATTATTACGGTGACGTCGCAACAAATTGGGTCCAGTGTATGGACGCCGCGCTTTCAATTGGTAGGCCCTCAACCTGTTGCGGACTGTTTGGGGAGACACACGACGCCCAACTAATGTCCTTGTAGTCTCTACTGCGGTTACGAATCGATTGCGCAAGTGTATCAATCGTATACGACGTCATCCATGGCGGTCGTTTTACGGGGTCGGCCGCTTCGGGGACGATCGGATGTTGACCCAGTTTGGTTTAAACGACTTACCAACTGGCAAATTGTCTTAACACTGCAACCAAAATGCCGGCGAGACTCCCCAGCCTGGATCGTGCCTACATATTCGGTGATTTCTAAGTCCTAAGGATCTAAGGAACAGTTGTCAGTTTGAATGTTTATGAAATTCAAGCGAAGATACAAGTTAGTCGCAGAAAACCTCGTGCAGCTCTTTCGCTAATACAGACTTTCACGCTTGAATGATTTTGGTAACCCCCTTGGATTTTGTAATGTAAGACATTACTCTTTTCTAATATTGCACTAACGTCATTTTGTTTTCACTCATTTACAGGTATTCGCCAAGGAAACATGTTAACCTTTCTTTTTTTGTTGAGTATATATTACCTGTACAAATGATGTACTAGTGTATCTATCACGTACAGGTAAGTCACTAAGTTGGACAGCGGAGATTGGTCAGTAACATTCACTCCATGATGACAACATGTTATTCAAATCAAAATGAACGCACATGTTCTTGTAAAAGGTAGATCTATCTTATTATTACATCTGGAAATTATGCATGTATTTTACTCACTTATACAGAAGAATAATAAATTATATATATATATTTCGTGATACTTAAGACCTACACACTGCAATGTTATTTCAATTATCGAAACTATTCGACAAAAATACAAAATGAATAAAAGGCAAACTTTTGATCCCATTACTTAGTTGTAGATATTTGTGATAAAAATGAAATGTTCATCTTTCCCTAGACTTCACCTCTTTATACTAAAAACTATTTCTTTGATGACGATGTACTTGTTGATATTGATGACAATAGCAGGGGATTGATTATTAGCAAATGTCATGTTGCTTTCCTCTCTTCTTACCTTGTAGTGTATTGGCAAATTAAGGGCCATTGAAATGGTTGACAAGCGGCCATCTTGTATTTCGCCATGTTTGTAATCGTAATTTCTTGAGAGGTACTTGTTGGATGATTGTCAAATTTTATAAATTTTATAAGGTAGTTAACCATTGTCTGTTTTTTAACTGATCAGAAGTACAAAATATTCAACTGGCGGCCATCTTGTATTTTGACAGTAAATATACAAGATGATGTATGTTAAAACTACGTATATATCTTGAAAGGAACTATATATACCATCCTCAAATTTAATGGCGAGGAAAGTATTAACACTGCTGTTCTCGGAACCTAGGATGGACTTTTCAGATTTATTTTAAACTCTCAAAAGCACATGACATGTATAACATCATTTTGTACATAAAGTCATACCTCCAGTTTCTCCATACCGACGGAGGAGTGTACATCGCTCTGCTGAGAGGCGTCTAAGGCCATAAAGTAACAGGTCGAATGAGTAGATGAAATGAGGTAGTTCTGTAAATTAACATACAACATATTTATTATGAGGTCGAACAATGATTCATTATAATCATCACTTAAACCGAAATCCATATAAGTGTATGCAGCATTGTATAACACAAATTCTGACCTTGTCTGTATACTTATTTGTCATTATACTCCAAACATACAAGCTACCTTTCAATACATGAAATCCCTTTGGTGACTCGGATAGAAGTTATCCTTGTTCACTTCCGATCAGGGAATCGAACACTGGTCGTCTAGTGAAATCAAATAATCACAGAGACATCCTGCCAGTCACTGACATTAGAAGAACTGAGATAATAGTTTACACATCGATTCGCAACACTTTAGGTGAATTGGTCAATGTTACTTTATGTGAACAAGTCTAAATAATGCCAATGTTTTGTTTAGAAAAATAACATTTTTCATTGTTGCTGAACGATTATCATTTCCCAAGCACTTTCTCTCTTTTCAGATATTGTCACTATTTTTTTTCGTTTTGGCCAAAATCACTCATCTTTATATATAACTTTACTAACACCACCAATCATTATAATTCTCATATCTCTATTAACCAATTGAATTTTGCGTCCAGTTATTCATCCTTTTTTCATAGTCAGTGAATTCATTACATATTACATTATACAAATAAAATTTACTTTTCAACTTGTATGCTATGAATGATGCGTTATGTCTGCTTTCATTCAGATTAATAAAATGATTAAAATCGATAAAATTCAGATGAAATAAGTTAAATATCCTAGACATCAAGCTGCCCTGTAATTAAAATTTCCTGTTTTATAATTTTGTATAGTTTTTCATTGATAGGTATTACATTTCAATACTATGAATCTACGCGTATTGGTTATTCAGAAATTTTTTACTGTCTTACAGATCAGTATCTTGCATGCTGCTTACAAGATACCAAGTGCAGTGAACTGAAATTAAAGATCCATTGTCGACAAAACGAGTAAAACACAAAACATACATACCGTGCCAGAATCGTAAAAGAATCTGACATCACCCTGCTCCGGATGATCATAAGTATTACCGTGTTGGATGATGCCATGGTGATGATGCTAACAAAACGAAACACGAAATGTCAAAGATGGCAGCTTTGATAAAATCAACTTTATAATTTAGAAAAATGGAATGACTAACACTTCCATTTAAAAGTGTTCTATACGTTGAATGACAATCAAAATCGATGCTTTGTTTACTCATTAACAAAAAAAGTAAAGAAAAAAGGAAAAAATCTTAAATTACAATGTGTGTTTACTGGCATTTGGCCAAAGCTATCTTTTTTTAATAACATACCTGGGCTACAGCGAATGTGAACAAAGTGGCGAGTGCAGCAAATCCCAACATTCTGGTAACAATCAATGGACGATTTAAAATGACCTCCTGTCAGTAACCTCTCGAAATATAAAGCAAACAATTGAACAGGTGTCAAGGTCATTGTCGTCATTTTCTTATCACTTAATGCTACGGTTGAAACTTGTTTGGATTCACAAGAAACTATTAGATATTGAATTGGGTAACCCGAACTACCTTTGTCGCAGGTCTCTGTGTTACCATCAATGTATAATCGTTAAAAGCTGCCTATGCAATATGCAATTCTTTCAGAATATTTTGATATTAATCATTGACATGGGAATCCACTGGCTATTGAATTAACCCTTAGTGATTCGATTGACAACCCTATAACGTCGGCATAGGTTTCGTACTATCGCAAAACAAAGCTCTCCCGAAAACTTATTTTTTCCCTCGAATAAATATGCAGACCATCCTTAGATAGCCATGTGATTAGTTGTAATACGGTACCAGATTAAAAAAGAAAGGAAACAATTTCAATCATTCTATATCGATGGCTCATAAAACAGTATGACTAAAGTCTTAGTGTGGGTTGCGAAATTGTAGCTTTTGGATGCCGTCTATCAAACGATGGGACGTTTTCTTTTACAAAATCCCTGACTATCACTCAGGCTATGGTATTTCTAACATATACAAGGAAGTTGCAATATGTTAATTTTATTTTCACTCCCCATCTATTCCACAGAAATCTTAGCTAAAAAAAACCTGTTTATGTTCTCTTTGTTTTAGAATAGTTCCCGTATTTGTGGGAACACTAACTAACGAATTGGTAGACCGTATGCCAATAAGGCCGAATCACTACATTACACTATATATCCTCAAAATTTTATAACGATTTGAGGTGTGAAAGTAAGAAAATGATGAGAAAGACTGTGTAGAAAACAAATTACATTCTACAAAACCCAAACTTGGAGAATAACGCTGTGATAACGTTGTTCCTGCATTTGTGAGTAGATCATTCCAACACAATACATATTCTCATTGAAGTATTTAGATTGACGGACTATGTACATATATAACATGCTGTGAGTCAGTTTCTATAAAACGCATTATACTGGATGGCATTTACTTTCGGCCTTCACGTAATATTTTATCTACCGATGATTACTGTATGAATTTTCGTCGGTTTTTGTTGTTGTTAATTTCCTGGGTACTCTTAACCACAGATTCACACAAATTCTTAACCACATATGTCTAGAAGTTCTTGAAATTCGTATCTGAAGATTTATTGAGCTTATTTATTCTCGAAAATCAAGTATCAATGCAATTCATTTTTTAAACCCTAAGAAATTGAGTCTCACGAAACATACGATTTTACAGTAACTGTATAGTTTAATCTTCATTTGAAAATATCAATATATGAAAACAATCCAGAATACATAAGAATTATTGGTTTGTTCCATACGATGTACAAACTCATTATCACGCTTGATTTTGCAATATTGGTAAGTGTAATGTCGTGTTTGTAAATCTATCTCCAATGGAGCTTTGACCTTTAAATTCTAGCTTGTTTGATGCTCCTTTTACAACGTTGTACTAACATTCGCTGCATTGGCCGACCTTTAAGAATACATCGAATTTAATCAAGGAAATTTTGCCTGGGATATTTGTTTCTGTATCCGAAGCCATGGTAAACCAGAGCGATCATCTCCAGGCTATGACATTCAAACCGACTGTCACCGGCAACCTTATCCAGATTCTCAGTATAATGCTTATTGTTTTATTTTTTACGTGGATTTAAAAGTCAAGCACATAAAGAGGACAAAATAATTAAAGTAATATTATCAGTAAACAACATCTAGCTACCTTTGTAAACAATTAGGTTTCGCTTATTTAATATCAGCGGATAAACAGGTTGCAGCAATTACTGATCATGTTGACAGTTCACGATTTCATACGAAACATATATTGTGAACCCTTCTCTAGGCTCCGAATTCATATCGATGTTTATATGGCTTGTGAAAGGAAACACTGTGTTGAATTTCGTGTGGTAGATAAGCATTGCCTGAATGATCAAGATAAGTTGTATGAATATGCTGACTTCATACCATTACAAAACCTTTCATAACATCAACATCAGAAAAAAATTGAAACTTGAATTGTTTTACATCTGAGAAGAATACATCTTTAAATATCAGAAATAAAACAATTAGATTAAAAAGACAATGATTTATTTATTGAATTCAGGTATGTACATATATAAAACAGATCCGGGAAAAGTAAGAAATAATGTCATTTCAAAACAAATTCATGCTATGTTTTTGAAATTACCGGCACCTTTCAATATTTTAATTTAATATTTAGCAGTTTAAATAAAATATTCAAACTAAACAGTGATCTATAATATCAATTAAAAAGTACACTAATATTTATCACAGTGTTTCTAGTTATAAGTCGCAGTAATAATGACAGTATTTGCGAATTAGTTACTTTCAACAATTTTCACAGAAGTGACTAGTCTCTTTAACTCTTAAGTAAAGACAATTTACTACTCTAAGGTGAAGAAACTTGATATGTTTCCATATATGAAGTGCTTAAATTCTGTTGCATAGCACTGATATGATATCTTTCCATTCCTGTTTGTCGGCGGTAATTCTCATGTTTCTGTTTGGTTTTTCTAGTAAATGAGCATACCACATACACTGGGAGATATTTCTTTACAGTATCCTGTTTTAAATACACAGATTCCTCCCAAGCCATTCTAAGCCACATTGTATTTAATCAAAGAAAGATTGATTCTAATAGAAGTGTAGTAACACATACCTTAACGTTTAATACAGTTGCATAATTTCGGACGCAGTAAACATTCATTTCAACCACCTTTTATGGTTCTCATGAACATATTTTATAATGATTTCGATTATCTTTCGATGGTCTTTCTCTTCAGTGATCCATGAAACACACAGTCGAACGGTTAAAGCTCTCTGGTACATTTCTTAGGCATAAAGGCAAAATATTGTTCCAAATTCCTTAAACATTCTTAAGACTGTATTTATCCTCTGTACGTTATTCGAATAGTGGCACGGTTCAGAATATACATATATTTTTGACGTTGTGGTTTTATCTGAAACATGCAAATTGAATATGGTTCTTGTGCACCTCCCATGCTATATTTTGAATTTCCTTTCGATAACTTTGGTTTTTTTAGTCGCCACCTAGGTTCAACACCGATGGGATCAAAAAGGACGAAGAATCTGCTTGATGCAGTTTAATTGATTGTTTGTCACTTTTGGCTCTACTGTATCTAACAATAAATTTGTTTTTAAAAGTGCTATTCAATTGTGTTTTTTGTACAATTTTCAGTTTTATTGTTAAGCACTCTTCACAATGCACATAAAAAAAATCATGTAAACAGATACAGCACTGATTGATAAAATATTTTATTCGTGTGTTCATTATATCATGAAAATGTGTCGCACATCGATATGTAATTAGTACAGATATGTAATGCTGGATTAGCCGGGTACATTAATATGAGTAAGATAGAGGGCCAGAGCGCATGTAAACAGGTGAGTTGAAAACACGTTTGAAATGCTTACACACAAAGACGGTTGCGTAAATCCAGCGTGAAACACAGATCACGGCAAATACTAATTCACTTTCAGTTAATTAAATGTAAGCTTAGTTTAGCTGTACCTATGTGTTTCGTTCATAGTATAACAAACCATACATTGTGGTGTATTAACACATGTCTATATATGGTCTAAGTCAGGTGTTTAATAGTACGTTGTTTGTAGGTAATGAACATGCATGCAGGTGTCTTGTGTCGGGTATGCGAGAGGTGTTTACGACTACGTTGAATGTTTATAGATTTTGTCAGTGATACTGTTCTAGAATTACGTTCATTTTTAAATGTGTATTAAATGTGTATGTAGGATTTAGTGCTGATGCTCGTGTGTGTTTACACGAACAGAGAAGTACAAGTGTAGATATGTTGTGTAATAAAGTTAGAACGTTATATTATATTAATTACATTTAAAAGATATCATTTTGTTATCATATTGTAAATAGTAACAGGACCTTATACATCTGTTGTAGCTTTTACCGTGCAGGACATTCAAATGTATTGCCTTTGTTTGATTGAGACCTATGGAAGCACATACTGCTCAGCGAACCTTCATACATGTATTCACGAGTTTATGGTGGTTATGGAAGCCTGTGTGTTACGGCCTATTGTAGGGTTGTACGGCATGGTGGCCAGTTATGGCCTTTATGCCATCGTATCCACTACATAATGTATATTTGACGAAAGTACTCATCATGTGATTATGACGCTGTCGCCATTTGCTACGACATCCCGATATTGGAGAACAAAACAGTTATCTTGACAACAGGAACAATTTGATATCGATAATTGTTGTTAAATTAGGAGCAGGTATTCTGACTTTCTATGTGGGACCGGCTATTGAAAGCTGTAGACTATGGTCTCAGATTTGTTAGTGAGGGTATATTGTAATATAGTAGATATACATAAATGTTGTGTAAAGTATTATATCTCGTTGTGTTTTGAAATAGAGTGTAAGTGTGTGATGTATGATGTGCCCTTTAGGAGTAATTAACGTAAGAAAATAAATGTATATAGTTGTAATCAACTGTTATTCTTCTATTTAGTACTTGTATGCAATAGCAATCGGTTACGTTAACAACGTGTACCTGGACCATTTGTTTGGTTTGGTGTATATTATCAAATATCTTATCAACAGCCCAGCTATAATGTATGCAACTATATGTGGGGTTAGAACATGTATTTCTGGGAGTACGCGTTATATTTATGTCAGCCTCCTTTAGGTAGTGTGGAAGAGAAGCCGACTTTACTGTGCTACCACACTGATGTATACAATGGTCTCCAACAGGATGCCCCACTCAATCACATTATACTGTACTTACAATGGGGGAACCAGTCGATACACTACCACAATACTGAAGTAAATAAATATCGCCTTTGATCACTTTGGTATATCATGGAACAGGACCAAAAGCCTTTCTCACAGTAG